GGTGGTGACTGAAGTGAAGTTAAAGGAACTACATTACAGGTTGTCTCTGCCAAAATGCCAAGTACAAAAAGCTGGTACCTCATCTAACTATGACCTTGTAAAAGAGAGAAATAAACAGCCCTATTTGCACATCCTCTTTGCTCTGCAGGAAGATCTACTGGCTTTTTTGACCTTTTGAGAATAACTTAGCATTTTCCACACATTTAGGCAACAAATCTGTTGATCTTCTCAGCCTACTCTATCCAAGCACTCCTAAGAAACATATTTCACTTTATTGATGTCTTTGGTTATTACTAAATCTTATCTAAATAATGAGAACATTTTCAACTGCTTCTTTTTCACTTAAGACAAATGTGGTCAAGAAATATAAGAAAAAGGTAAATGGTCCTCTGGTAACCATAAACCTATAGTCCATGACTATGAGTCTCTGTTAGGGGAGGAGGAGGGAGGTAGATGGAGTAAAGGGGGTCAAATATAAGCTTTAGGGGGAGGGTGAAGTGGGTAAAGGGGATCAAATATATGGTAGCTGAAGGAAACTGGACTTTGGGTGGTAAATACACAATAGAATCAATAGAATATACAGATGTCAAATGATAATGTACACCTGAAAATTATATAATTGTATTAACCAATGTTATACCAATAGATGTAATTTAAAAAATAAAAATAAATAAAAATGTAAATGGTATTAGTCTTCAAGCTCTTGGGTGAGGAGTGTATCAGTGAATAAGTCAAGCCATATGAGCTGAGTCTTCAGATCCAAGAAGGCCTCAAATTTAATAGCTGTTGAGTGACAAATGTGGACAAGGGAGCAAGCAGAATGAGAATCAAATGGTTGACACTCTAATGAAATTCATCTACGTCTGCCACCAACTCTATCTGTGGTGGGATATATGTAGCATAGACAACTGTTACCCAGTTTTACATCCTGGGAAACACCTCAGTTCTAGGCAAACCAAAACCACTGGTCACCCTAAGGAAAGCTGGGCCCATTATTTAAACAGCCAGGGTCTTATAGACATCTTCAGATGCTATTTATAACAGAGCAGTAAATTATAGAAAAGCACATTCAGAGTCGAGCTGTTTCCTCGACTGTCCTTCCGAGACAGAGCAGTAAATTATAGAAAAGCACATTCAGAGTCAAGCTGTTTTCTCAGGCTGTCTCCGTGTTGAACTCAAATCATTTAATATGCAGAAGGAAGAACGAGGAAAGGTTTCCAGTGGTTTCAAAGCAGTGCAGGGTCATTTATTAATGTCTTATGAACAAGCAGGCTTGTCAATAATTGTGTTTGAACACATACTGTTGGTATTGTATAGATGCTACTACTATATACGAGTTTAATTCAATGACTAAGTCCATGTGTACAAGAAAGAAAAATGACAGAAAGGAGAGATAAGGTGAGAAAAATTGAGAACAACACTTGTACTAAAAAGAAAATGTATTTAGTAAACAGAAATACAACTATTTGATTACCACTTAGTGACATTTGCGGGGAGGATTCCCATTATTTGCTAGGTAAGATAGTGTATATTTCTGCCATTGAATGATTGCCATTCTGGAACCAGGGCATAAGCCAAAGGCTTTATTCTTAACTGGCATCCACTGCCACAGTGAAGCTTCCCAAATCCCATTTCCTAATTACTCTCTCCAGATCATTCTCTTTTTACTCAGAATAACAAGGAAAACCCAGAGGCCTATCACTTCAGACTGATTTGATAAAAACATATTGACTCTCCCTATGCATGAACCTACCTGAGCATGAAGCAAAAATGTTCTCGGAAACATCTCATCTGTCATCAGCAATGGATAATTCAGAAAGATTTATCAGGGCTGGAATTTTTGCCATGGGGCTTTCTCACTGGAGAATAGAGACAGAAACCTCAAGAGGTAATTAAAATGCTAAATATTGCATCATCTCTGATGGAAAATACATGTCAAGAGCAAAATAACTCTCAGAACAATTAGAATTTTCTTCCTGTTTTAAAATGTTTTCTCTGTATCCTGGGGTTTGGGGAAGGGGTGTCTTAGTTTCTCACATGATAAAAATCATGTCAGTATTACATTAGCTACAAAATATATATTTTAAGTAGTATGTACTTCATAAACACAATTCTTGGTATTAATTCTTGATATCCAAGGAGTTTTGCAATTTTGCTCAGATCTCACTGGCCATAGGTGCATGTCACTTTTTTTAGTGGAAACTGTATTTTAATCACTAATTATATTTTAATTCTAGAATTGTGAAGCTAGGGCAAACTGAGACAACTAATATAAAAATATAGCCTTCCCCAAGAGTCCTATCCCATCTATTGAAATTGACACATTAGCGTGATCCCCACTTCTGATGCTACCAAGTCACAGTCTTCTGTATTGCCTTGTGTTACTTTCTCTACAGCACTTACCAACACCTGCTGTTAAGTGCTGTAGAGCACTTGTTTATTGTTGAATCTCCAGTTTCTTGTTTATTGTTGAATCTCCAGTTTGTAACATATGGCCCAGTAATCAACATACATTGAATGAGTGAACATTTTAAACTAATGGTAGCAATCACTATCTCCAGATAACACATATGCAACAGGCCTTGACTGCAACCAGTACAGACACCAACAAGAGGACAGAAGGCCCCTAGTGAGGAAGCGTGTAAATAATAGATCAGCAATTGCTTTGTCTCTATAAGACATGCTTCGTAGTTCTGTGAAAGTTTGGGGGAAAATAGGTACAAAAAAAAAGATATGAAAATCAAATAATTGTGCAGGAAGAGAATTACATTCACAGTATTACTCATAATGTTAGTAATTAATATTAGTATTAAAGGCTCATAGTGTTACTCATCGTATTGTTCAGATATTACTAATGACATATTCATAGTAATTTTAACAAAAAATATTAGTTTAAGGAAAATTTCAAATGTGACCATATTGTGAACATGAGGAGGAAGGAGTAGTGGTGCTTGAGTAGAGATGCAGGAGTGGGTGGAAAAATTTTAATACTTTATGTTTAATTTAAGAAAAATCAATCAATCATGTCTGTGATTGAAAAATCAATAACTAGACATATAATTATATAATTTAAAACGAGTTCATTGCCAAAAGAAATATCAAAAAAGTTTTATCTATGGAGAAATATGGGCAGGGGAGAAGTAAGAAAGGAGTGTATATGTTTTGTAATATTGACATTTAAAACAATGTATATGTTTTACATTAGTAATTGTGAATAATAATTATAAGTAACTTTAGTTAAACACGTGCACATATGTAAAAACAAAGAAAAGCCTAAAAACCATGAAACAAAATGTCGAGTGTGATATTTTGAGTGTTGTGTGTTTAATTTCTATATTATATGCATCTGTATGTTTGAATTTTGTATAATTAATATTTTATTAGTTAGAAGACCATGTAAAAAGCAATTCGACATAGTGTAGTAGCTCATAAAACCAAATAACATTTCTCATTCTTTCTACATTTCTTTTGTGAATTAGCAAAAGACTCTACTCCACGTCTCTTCACTCAAAAACCCAAGCTTAAAAGTTGAATCTTAAATCTTGCTGGTCATCATGGCAAGAAAAGAAAACCCCACTGAAGGGTTCTCTCATCAAACATTAAATTCTCAGCAAAGAAAGAACCCATATGAATTCTAATCTAATTGCCCAGAAATAGCTACACACTACCATCTAAACCCAAAGGTTGGTTGGGGGAGCATAATGCTATAATGTATACAAAGGACAAAGAAAGTAAAATAACTGGTGAGCAAAATGAATGACAAGTACAAACATGTAAACTTGTGTAACGAAAATTTTACTTTCTGTGTTTGGATTTTTTTTAAATCATTAAAGCTTTGGGGAAAAAAAAAGCAGTGTTTTCTATTGGTATACCACATTTTTCATTTCACCATCAATTCAGTCCTGCCACTTAGAAAAGAGGTCTGTAAAATGTCTGGGGACCAAAAGAATAGTGATACCTTTTATGAAAATACTTTTTTCCCTAACAGCTCTCTGCTTAATGCTTCTTTCACATCTTTATTTCTAAGGCTATAAATCATGGGGTTCAACATGGGAATTATCGTGGTATAAAATACAGCAACCATTTTCCCCTGTTCCACAGAGTCCTTTGAGGGGGGTCTGAGATACATGAAGAAAAGAGTTGCATAGAATATGGTGACAGCTGTCAGGTGCGAGCCACAGGTAGAGAAAGCTTTGCGCCTGCCTTCCATGGAATGAATCCTTAAGATAGAAGGAAAAATATATACATATGAAATCAGGATGATAAGAAGAGAAAAGGAAAGGTTAAATCCAGCCACAACAAACATCGACAGCTCTTTGTTGTAGGTGTCAGAACAAGCCAGCTTAATCAGCGGGGGGTCAGCACAGTAGAAGTGATTAATTTCATTGGGGCCACAGAAGGCTAGGTTGTAGGTCCACATGGTCTCCATCAGCCCAGTGAGGGCACCATATACATACGGCACCGTGATGAGGGATGTGCACACACTTCTGGACATCTTGCTGCTGTAAAGCAGAGGTTTGCAGATGGCCATGTAACGATCAAAAGCCATCACGGCCAGGATATAGATCTCCACGTGGACCAAGGCAATAAAAAGGTAACACTGCACCAGACAAGCAGGATAGGAAATGGTTTTCTTCTTTGATAAGAAAATCTCCAGCATCTTTGGGGTCACATTGGAAGAGAAGCACAGATCCACAAAGGATAAATGGCTCAGGAAAAAGTACATGGGCGTGTGGAGCCGGGCGTTGACCTGGATGAGGACAATCATGCCCACATTTCCTACCAATGTGGCCATGTAAATGACCAGAAAAAGGAAGAAGAGGAGAATCTGCGATTCCAGGCGTCTGGTCAGTCCTAGGAGAATGAACTCAGTCACTGAAGTGAAGTTTCTTCTCATAATCTCCTTCAGTGAGAGAAGGGAATTGGCCATTTGTATTGGATTACAGTAAAATGAAAGAAAAATAAATATCACTATTACAATAATGATCTTCGTTTTCCTTCCTAGCATATTTTTTCTCTGTTTCTACTAGTCTTTCTTTATTCTTGGTAAACTCCATCTCAGCCAGGCATTGGAAACCATAGGCATTCAAAGCAGCTTTCTGCCTTTTGTGATGTGGATTCTATTTTTCTAGTTTTATTCACTCTTTATTGTCACTCCCTTCTAATTGTGTTTCTCTCCCTTTTATATCTTTCTCCACTTCCTCCACCTCTTCCCATGCTTCTGCCTTTTATTTGACAAATGTATTTTATGGCCAGATCCACCCCACATATAATCTTTAGTACTAAAGAATTTATTTATCCCTGATTATTATAAGAGCAGAGAAAGATCAGAAAAGTATCAAGGAACAGAAAAGGATCATGTATCAAAGAATAATATTTTCCCAAATGACCTATTCTTTTTTAATAATTTTCACCTAATCATTCCCTACTGGAGCGATTCCTTAGCAGTGAGGTTGGGCTAGTTCAATGTTTTTCTCTTTTTTCAGACTTAATTGAATCGGACTTTCCAGGTGGAGCATGGGAACTTCTTTCTTCCTTTTTTTTCTTCAAAAAATACACACATGATTGCATTTTGGCCGTTGCTCAGCTTTTAATTCTCCAGCCATTAGAATTCTTTTGGGAGAATTACATGGAGTTGAGAATGATGGATATTCTCTCCTCTTGGTTTCCACTGTGAGGGGTGAGATCCTTGATTCAGAAAGGAGTAGGCAGGAATCAGATGCGTACCCCTAGTGATCTAGTAAGCTAGTGATTCAAGGTAGGCTAAATCTTTCTCATCAAATTGATTGCAGTGGACCTTAAAGATCAGACTGATCCTACAAAGGAATGCATATCTTATGAATCTGAGCTGCCAAGTCTCCAGAGCTCCTTGAGTTGCTATCTGTTCTCTAAGTCTAGTACTTCAGCTATTTTTTGGTTTAGAAAACCACTTACCATTTGAGAACAGTTTCTTTTTATATGAGATAAAGTGGACATCAGTTGATCGCAAACAAATTAAAACTGATACTACCGACATTAACTAAAATGTACATGCTAATTTTTCTATATGGAGGTCATCGGTATTCACTAGAACATCCTATTCAAAGCTATTCTTTGAATATGAATGTCTGCAGCAAAGTTTAATTTGTGATTATTTATACAAAATCAAGTTTACCTCTGTTTAATCATCGTAGTGACATACTCTCATCCCTTCTCATATGTCAAGTTCTTTCCCTTCTCACCTTTGTTTCGTTGTGTGTTTAGTATTCTTTTGAGATGAAATTTACACACAGTGAAATTCACCTTCTGTTAGTATATAACCTTGTGTGTTTCGGTAAATGAGTATGCTCATGTAACTTCCAATTATTAGGATTAGGTCAGGACTAGAGCATACAAACAGTTCGATGTCTCTATACACGCTGCAGCCTTAACACAAATCAATTCATTTCTTATATTAGTCATTTCTGAGATGCTTCTTTACTCCTTAGATAAGTTCCTTATTCTGAATTTCAGTTTATTATCAATTTATTTATTTAACAAACACATAGTATGTCTTATATGCTAAGCTCTGATCTAAGTGTTTTATAAATATTAATTCATTTAACCCTCAAACCAACCCTATAGCATTCTGTCCTTCATACATATAAATAATAATGTATTTTTCAAGTTTAGTACACAGGAAGTGATATTATGGACACTAGAGAGTACTGGTAAAAACACGGGCTATGAAGTCAACTTGTTGAGTTCACACGCTGGCCTCAGCACTTTTAATCCCAGTCTTGTGTTGCGGGGGGGAGGGTGTTTCTTATTAGTTCAGAACTTCAGTTTCTTCTACTGCAAAAAGGGTTTAATAAATCAGAAGGGCTATTCTGTGGATTAAACAAAATAAAGTATACAATATGCATAGCACTGTGCCCAATACATGGCAAGCCCTCAATAAATATTAGTGATCAGTCAGTTAAGTGAAGGGCCTTAGAGAATACCATTCACTATATTTTGATTCCCTTATCATCTATCTTTATTATTCAGTCACTTTTATAAGTAAAAGTACCTTAAATAGTAAATGTCTACACTTTTCTGGAAATGGGCATTCTTCTCTCCATCTAGTCATTTATAAATAATAAATCTAATCCTGATAATACATATGATTTCATTAATAAGTAAATAGAGATTCGTGTTTATAAATGTTTGTAGAATAAAGAAACCTACTTACCTGTGGGGGAAGAGTGATCTTTACAAAGATTGTCAACAGCTCTTCTGATGAATAGTGCAGGCAGAATTTATGTGGTTTGTATCGTTAACTTCATTTCCCTAGGAGATTACACAAATAGATGAAGATGAAGCAATTACTTTGTTAGATAATTTTTTTTCACTAAACGAGTTCTTTGGAGAAATAATAACTGGTGTAATACAAGTTTAACATGGGAAGCAACCACTGGCTAGAATTTTCTCCCTTGTGTTCAGTCTCAGCAATTTTCTTCATACATCAGCAAGTCCCTGCAGTAACACTGATGTCTGCAGTGGATGCTCAGATTACATTCTATTTAACATATTAATTTCAGCTCATCCAATTTGCTGGTACAATTTCCACACCACAGTTATCTCAACTTTGCATCACAATTCTATTACCATCTCACTTTGTGTTATGGCCTGAATCATGTGCCACCACAATTCATATGTCGTTGTCCTGACTCCGGTACCTCAGAATATGGCTGGATTTGGAGATAGGGTCTTTAAAGAGAAAATTACAGTAAAATGAGGTTATGTGAGTGAGTCCTAATCCACGATAACTGATGAATAAGAGGTGATTAGGACACAGACACGCACAGAGGAAAGAACACGTAAAGACACAGGAGGAACATGACCATCTACATGTCTAAGAGAGGCTTCGGAATGAAACCAACCCTACTGATTCCTTCATTTTGTATTTATAGTCTCCAGAAATGGGAAGAAATAAATTTCTGTGGTTTAAGCCACCCCATTTGTGGTACTTCATTATGGCAGCTCTAGCAAGCTAGTTTACTTTGTGTGTTACAGATAAACGGAATGCTTTGATATTGGTTTGAAGCATTGCTGGTTCAAAGACTAGTATTATTTCTAGCAATTTTAAGTAAACTTTATGTCAAAGTCTAATATACACATAGAAAGTGTACATAAAATATAAGAGTATAGCTTTATGAATTTTTACAAAGTGAACCTACTTGTACTACCAAGTTCAAAATCCAGAAATAAAACATTAACAGCACTCAGGAAAATCTCCTCAGGACCCTTCTTGGTCACTAACCCTCCAGTTACTGCATATTCATTTTTAATACTACTGGTTGGTTGTGTCCACCTTTGAGTTTCACATAGCTGGAATCACATGGTACATTTTATTTTTGTTTGGTCTTTTGATGAACCTTGATGACATATGAACACTATGTTGGTGATAGTTATCGTTTGTTTGGGATGTTATAACAAAAACTCCGTAGACTGGGTGGCTTACAAACAACAGAAATTTATTGCTCACAGGTCTGGAAGCCAGAAGTCCAAGATCAGGTTATCAGTATGGTCGAGAGTTCTCATCTTGGGTCAGAGATGGCTGTCTTTTCTCAGTGTCCTCACATAGACGAGGGGCCAAGGGAGCTCTCTGGTGTGTCTTTCATGAGGGGACTAATCCCATTCATGAAGTCTCAGCCCTCATGACCTAATTCCTTTCCAAAGGCTCTATATCCAAATACCATCACATTGGGCATTAGGTTTCAACATAGAAATTTGAGGGGGACACCAGCATTCAGTCTATAGCAATGATTTTTATTCATGTTGCATGTAATGGATACAGCGATAATTCTTTTATTTCCATTCCTGTGTAGTATCTATTGTATGACTATACCGAAATTTACGTATCTTTTCTATTCTCGTAAGACATTTAGAGTGCTTCCAGATGTGACTATTATGAAATACTTTCTTGCACATATCTCTCTATAAACACATTTATGTATTTCTTCTTGTTAGAATTCTGGGTAGAATTGCTGGTTTACAGGCTATGCATATGTTCGGATTAAGTCGATACTGCCAAATAGATTTACGAACTAATTATATCAATTTACACTACCGCTAGCACTATATAAGTGGTTCAGTTATTTCGTAGTCTCATCAATACTTAATATTATGAGGTTTGGAGGTTTTTGTTTATTTTAGTATTAGTTTTCAGTTTTTGCTATTCTCATATGTGTGTAGGTACAGATATCTCATAGTTGCAATTTGCGTTTCCTCTAATGACCACCAAAGTTGAGTACATTGTGATATGTTATTTTGTTCTTTGAATACATTTTTGCTCAGAATCTGTTCATAATTTTCTGTGCTCTTTTAATGCATTGTTACAAATGGAGCAATATTTAAAGGTGCTATAAAAATTAGAATTAGATTGCAGTATAATTTCCAGCTTCTCCACTTACTACTTTTGTAATTTGTGGCAAGTCATTTAATATCCCTTCACTTTAGGTTTTCATAGGTACAAAATTGGGACAATAACACCACATATCTCAGTTGTTATGATGACTATTGACAAAATATCTGTAAATATAAGTAAGAAAAATCTGCAATGAGTTTTGAATATTATTTGGTACATAGTCAACCCTCTATAAATAAGTGTTATCTTTTAATCTTCTTTCTCCTAAATATTTGCAAAATACATTTTATGTTTAGTTTTTTAATGGTGACACTTGATATTTTCACGCTAAACTTAAACTCTGAAGTTATTCAATATTTTTACTGTCCCTTCAACAATACTAATTTCATCAGAGATCTCTGTTCAAACTCCTTACCGCATGCTCACCTCATCATTCATTGGCCTCCCATCTTCTATGGAGATTATTACTTTCAAAGCTTTAAGTACCTTCAGTGGAGCTGTTGGCCTCAACACCTCTCAACACACACCTACACGATTAGAAGAGGT